ACTGAGCTAAATCCCCAGCCCTAGTCACTTATATTTTAAATAAGGTTTTATTGGAACACAAACACACCCATTTAGGTATTGTCTGTGGCCATAACTCAGGCCCTTGAGCTTGCAAGGCAGGCAGTGGAACCACTGAGCCAAATCTCTGGCCCTTGAAAATATTTTATTAATTTGTATTAATTTTATAGAATTTAATTTAATTTTTTTTGTTTTTTGTACAGGGGATCAAACTCTGGTCCTTGCACTTTTGAGGCAGGCAGTGGCACCACTGAGCTAAGCGCCCCCCATATGCATTACATGCATATAATATATTGATCAGTTTGTTACTCTGCTTACACTCCTCTCCCCCACCTCTGTTCCCTTTCTCTTATCTTTTGCTCCCTTCTATTTTCCTCAATCTGTTTTGTTTTGTTTTTGGTACCCAGAACCTTGCACTTGAGAGGAAGGCAGCAGCACCCCTGAGCTATATCCCTGGCCCTTCCTTCTATTTTCATGCTATCTTTTTTTTTTCTTTCTTTCTTTTTTAGATTTGCCTATAGCCACTTATAATCTACAACTTTTCAATTGAGAGGTTGAAACAAACACATGATTGACTGTAGAGCTGAAAATATTTATTATCTAGCTCTTTAAGAAAAGATTTTTCAGGGGCCAGGGATTTAGCTTAGTGGTGCCACTGCCTGTCTCACAACAGCAAGGACCCGGGTTCAATCCCCGGTACCAAAGGGAAAAAAAAAAAAGGTTTTGTGTTGGGGCCAGAGATTTAGCTCAGTGGTTCTGCCGCCTGCCTCGCAAATGCATGGTCCCGAGTTTGATCCCAGTACCAAAAAAAAGGTTTTGTGGGGCAAGGTGGCCCATGCCTATAGCAACAGCTCTGGGGAGGCTGAGGCAGGAGGACTACAACAAGTTCAAGGCCAGCCTGAGATGCATAATGAGTTCAAGGTCAACCTGAACTACATATCATGAGTCTGTCTCAAAAAAAAAAAAAAAAAAAAAAAAAAAAAAAAAAAAAAAAAAAAACATAAAAAAAAATAAAAAAAAAAAAAAAAAAAAAAAAAAAGCAAGACAAAAACAAGAAAGAGACAGAGAGGAAAAAGGGAAGAAAAAGAAAGAGAGCAAGAGGGATGGGGGGAGGTTTTCTTGATGTGGTGGTGCAGGCTGTAATCTCAGGTACTCAAGAAGCTAAAGCTGCAGGATCACAAGTTTCAAGCCTGGGCAATTTACGGAGACCTGGTTTCAAAAGAAGGGCTGGTTGGGGACGGGGATTTAGCTCAGTGGTTCCGCTGCCTTCCTCACAAGCACAAGGTCCTGAGTTGGATCCCCAGTAACAAAAAAAAAAAAGGCCGAGGGGGGCGGTGGCTGGGAGCGTGAGACTCTGGGTTCAATCCCGGATGTTGCCAAAGTTTCCTATCCCCTGCTCTCGTAAGATTAAGTGGGTTCACACATGCAAAATATACTGTTTAGTGAGCACTCAAAAGATGTCAGCTTTAATATCACTGTACACTTTTACAATAACCCTTACCCCAGGGTCTTAGTAAAGTTTTGTCCAAATAAACAGCGAGTTAAAACGGAAGCAGAAGTGGGAATCTGGAATCAAAGAAGGAAGAGTTTCAAGAAGGTGGAAGTGGTCAGCTATGTTAAACTGACAATCAAAGGCTGAAGAAAGATGGTTGGATTTGGCAATCAGACTAAGGAACCAACTAAGAGGCGGCTATGTGAAGTAGTGAGGACAAGAATGGACTCTAGTGGGCTCAGAGGGAGCAGAAATGATAGGGCACCGGGAAAGTGGACATTACCCAGCTAGGTGACAGACTGCAAGCACTAAGATGAAAATGAACACATTTTGATTCAGGAAGGTAGGGTGTGACCAAAACAAGATCCCAGAACACATGCGCAGAACAATACTCAGAGCCCTACGAGTGGACTTCTCGCGAGAAGTCGAGCGGGTTTTATCTAGGATGACCTGGACTGCAGCCAGCGCGGGAACTATGAACAGAGGCAGTCGCCCTTCAGAGCTCGCTGTCATGCCTCCACACGACTGCCCACGGTACACTGCATGGTGTTCTTTGTTTGGTTTTTGGTTTTGTTTCTTTTTCTTTTTTCTCTGTCCTGGGGATGAAACTCAGGACCTTACCCATGCTAGGCCCTGGCCCTGCACTGTGTATTTTTATTTTTACCCTTTCCTCCCTTTTTACTCTGTCCAAACCCATCTGCAAAGCCCGTTCTTTTCCTACCCTTCTGTTTTTGTACTGCCTCTACTAAATGTGAAACCTTGCCATGGTTTATGGTTGTTTACTTCGATTATTTGGGACAGAAAGGACCTAGAAACCACCTCCAGAAGGAGACTCCAGCACCCCAAAACCTGATAACTTGACCTCTTACCTGAATTTTTAAAACCTGCTCCCCAAAAATGTCAGGTTTATTGAAACACTGGGCTATCTGAGGAATTTTTCTATTTAGCTTTTGGGGAGGCAGTATGGGGGTTGAACCCAGGACTCAGCTACACTCCCAGTTTTGTGTACCGGGAATCAAATTCAGGGACTTGGCTTGCCAGGCAGTCGCTGCACCACTGAACTGCATTTCCATCCCTATCTTTGAGCTGTTTGGTGTTCAGTAAACCTTCAAAGTTCAGTGCCGGGGATTTGTACAATCCAGCAGTGAGTCCATCAGGGCCAGGACCTTTCTTTGATGTAGATTTTAAATTACATCTTCAATTTCATTGGCTGACATTGGTTTATTTAGAATTTCTGTATCTTCTTGATTCAGTTTTGGTATATATCTAGGAATCTGTCCATTTCTTCTATAATTTCCATCTTATTAGAATACAGTTTCTTGAAGTAGGTATTGATGATCTTCTGGATCTCTGCAGGACCTGTTGTGATTTTTCCCTTTTCAATCCTAATTGCACGTTTTTGAGTCTTTGTTTTTCCTTTTTTTTTTGATAAGTCTGGCTAAGGGTTTTTCAATTTTATTAATCTTTCAAAAAGCAACTCATCGATTCTTAGTCCCCATTGCATTAATTTTTGCTCTGATTTTTTTTTAAACTCAGGACTTGGCACTTGTGAGGCAGGTGCCAGCACCACTGAGCTAAATCCCCTGCCCTCTGCTCCGATTTTTATAATCTCCCTGGTACAAGCTTTGGGCTTGACTTGCTCTTCTTTTTCTAGAAACTTGAGGTCCATCATTAGGTTGTTTATTTGAACCTGCTCTATTTTCCTGATATGGGAACTCACCACTATAAACTGCCCTCATAGGACTGCCTTCATTGCATCCCCTAAGTTCTGGTATGTGGTATTGTCATTATCGTTTAACTGTAGAAATTGCCTGATTTCTTCTTTAATTTCAGCTGTGACCCACTGGTTTTTCAAGAGGGTGTTATTTCATTTCCATGGGTTTATGGAGTTCTTGTGGTTTCTTTTGCCATTGATTTCCAATTTCATTGCACTATGGTCTGATAATATGCATGGGATTATTCCTATTCCTTTGCATTTACTTAAGCATGTTCTTTGAGCTAGTCTATGGTCTATTTTGGAGAAAGTCCCATGTGCAGCTGAGAAGAATGTGTATTCTTATATTGTGGGTTGGTACAGTCTCTAGTCATCTAACAAATCCATTTGTTCAAAAGTTTGGTTCAATTCTAATATTTCATTGTTGATTTTTTTGTCTAGTTGATGTGTCAGTTTGTGACAGTGGAGTACTGAGGTCCCCCATTACAACTATATT